TCCAAGAAAGCCGGCGGATTATCAGAAAGACAATACGGCTTTTAAAAAGAGTCCACTATTGACGCACAAACAATGTCGTTGGCGCCGAAATGCGCAGTAAGTGGAAAAGATGGAAGGCGGGACTAAAAATACTGCGCCCTGATCACCCTGGATGTGAAGAATGCCTTCAACTCAGCAAAATGGGCAACATTATCAAAGCTCTGCATGAGATACGCGCTCCTCAATACTGGTAAACATTATTACAAGTTATTTTGAAAACAGGCAACTGATATTTGACCATGATGAAGGCACCAAGACCTACACTATTACGAGTGGAGTACCGCAAGGCTCGGTTTTAGGCCCCTTCTATGGAACGTGATGTATGATGGGTGCTAAGAATAAACCAACAAGAAGCGTTAAATTAGTCGCATACGCTGATGATCTTATAGTAGTAGCAGTGTCTAACATCTTGATGACTTCCGGAGCAAATGCAATGAATGCGTCAATAGTCTGCGGCAATGGTTCTCCTCAAGGAGTTTAGTTCTGGCGAGCACAAGACAGAAGTCCTGCTAATAAGTACTAGGAAAGTGGAGGAACGAATATATCTCACCATAGGGAGTGTGAGATTCAATCACGCCACAACTAAAGTATCTGGGAGTAAATAGACTCTAAGCTTAAATTTAAGGAACACTTAGAATACACCTCTGGTAAAGCAAGCAAAATCCTCAACGCCTTATCAAGAATGATGGCAAATAAAGGCTGCGTGCGTTCCAGCCGGCGATTTTACTCGCAAAGGTAATGAGATCGGTTGTATTATATGCGGCCCAATATGGATCCAGGCGCTAAACGGTAAAGCATATGCCAAACTAATAAACTCAGTGCACCGGCTGTCGGCACTTAGAGTAATCATGCTTTCGAACGATATCCAGCGAGGCTGCGGAAGTAATAGCCAGTATGATGCCCATTGACATCCAGGGTGACGAATTCGCGCGAGTATACAAGTTACCGAGTCGTCTTTAGAAGCCAAAAGAGCAGAGAGAGTCAAAAGCTTATCAATATGGCAGCAGCGGTGGCAACCTCACTCAAAGGACGGTGGACCCACAGACTTATACCGACATCCGCCCGTGGATAGACAGACGACATGGGACCTGGATTTCCACCTTACCCAAATATTAAGCGGACATGGTGCTTTAGAAGCTACCTGTACAGATTCCATCATGATGTTAGTCCGAACTGTCCGATGTGTACAGAGTGCATAGAAGACTCTGAGCATGTATTCTTTTATTGCCTCGCTTTTCGAGTACAAGGGAAAACTTAAAACTTCACTCGGTGGTAGTTTTATGGTGGAAAACTTACGACACTTATGTGTCAGTCCAGTGAGATTGAAAGCTGTCAGCGAAGCGGCAGCCTCATTTTGACAAAACTAGACATATGGAACAGATTAGGCGTTCGTCAGTCCGTACTATAGAGGAGACTTAAATGTCTTATCACCCCAGAAGTAATACTAATCAGGTGGTTCGTGGGAGAGTCTTGAGTTGGGAGTAGGTTAGGTTTAGCGGATTAAAGTTCCGCACTTTGGCTTTCGATGCTTCCCCTACTTAACAAAAATACATTTAATTAGATTATAGTTAGATTTGTAAATAGTATAAAGCGATGTATTTAATAAAATAAAATTAGAATGAGTGAGGAATTCAGAAGAATATGGATGATTTAAGTATGGAAGAACAGAACAGCCATAATCACAAAAGCATATGATCAGATTACTTATTATTAAAATAGCTCGAAATTAGTTACAATTCTCTTCAACGAGATGTGCTGTTTGAAGAAAACATTATAGAAGAACAGCCCGAAATTTATTACCTATATGATTTGGAATCAAAACAATTCAAAACAGTTCCAATTTACATCTATCTTCTGAAACTGAGGAAGAAGCAACCGAATCGGTTGAAACAACAAGTAAGTAATAAAGAAACAAGAAAAACGTTAACTCGTTGCGTCGAAGCTATAATACCCTTCACAAATACAAAGGCCTTACAAGAACTTGATTCCGAACGTTCAATTTGATCTCTCTCTTTTTTATTTACATACATACAAATGAATTATATTGTAACTTTTCTCTAATATAAAAATTACTTACAATTTCAAGCTGTCTCAAAAAACTTCTGTCAAATATTCCATGACATGTCTCTTTAATGTGCTCTTTTATGCATGTTTGAACCAGCGATGTCAAACTTTCTCCAGCGATGCCATCTAAAAGTTCCATTTCTTGTAACGCCATATTTGTTTTGTTTATTAATACATCCAAACTTTGACACTCACAGGCATTTATTTCCTTTTTACATCCGGCACATTCTTTTTTATTCATCAATAATTCAACATCTGAAAGAAATTAGCAATGAATTAGAAAGAAAAAACGATATTAAGAGATATGTGCACAAACCCACATTTACTTAAATTGTACAAAAACAAATAAGGAGTGGCTAAGTTCGGGTATAACCGACATTTTATACTCTTGCAACTTGTATTAGGAAAACTGTATATTAAACAAGTAAGGAAGGGCTAAGTTCGGATGTAACCGAACATTTTATACTCTCGCAAAGTCAAATGGTATACTCGTTTGAGATTTCTTTGTGGATTGACTGATATTTTCGGTAGAAGGTCAACTATAGGCACCGTGGTCCACATATTCAGTACCTAGGGGCTTGAACAGTTTTGGTTCGATTTAGACAATTTTTGGTCACAAGGTGGCATACTTTACGTATTATTCACGCAAAGTTTTACCCCGATATAATCATTGTTGCCTGATTTGCATAGTGGAAAGTGAAAGAATCAGATGGAATTTAAAATGGTGTTATATGGGAAGTAGGCGTGGTTGTAATCCGATTTCGCTCACGCTTTAACATAGAGATATGAAAATAATGTCATGTACCGAATTTGGTTGAAATCGGTTGAGCAGATCCCAAGATATGGGTTTTCACCTAAAAGTGGGCGGTGCCACGTCCACTGACTAATATTGAACGCGATTCCTATAAAGTCATCTCATACCATTCCAGAGATAAAATTAAATGTCTCTGGCGTGTTTACGCCGTTATATGGTGAGTGGGCGGAGTTGCCACCCGATTTCAACTATTTTCACATTGTAGGTAGAGGTTCCAAAAACATTTGCTTCCAGTGAGTTTTGTTATTATAACTTTAGCGGTTTAGGAGATATGCACATTAAACCTATTAGTCGCGGGACCACGCCTACTTAAAACAAAAAATAATAGTCTTGTATCTTGTTTTGGAGCTTAGTTATGGCAATTTATTAGTTTTTGATTAATGGCGTTTTGTGGGCGTGGCAGTGGTCCGATTACGCCCATCTACAATACCAACCGTCTTTCGGTACCAAGAAACATGTCTACCAAGTTTCATAAAGATATCTCAATTTTTACTCAAGTTGGAGCTTGCACGGACGGACAGACGGTCACCCGGATTTCAACTCGTCTCTTCATCCTGATCATTTATATATATATAACCCTATATCTAACTCGATTAGTTTTAGGTGATACAAACAACCGTTAGGTGAACAAAACTATTATACTCTGTAGCAACAGGTTGCGAGAGTATAAAAATGTTACGAAACAACTCAACATTCATTATTCGGTGAAATTATAAATGAATTACAATCATATTTGGTATTTTATTAAGTTATATTATAGGTCATCGACTCACTTAATTTTATTACTATATTTTACTTCCCGTCAGCTAAAATTGTATTAAAATTATCTTCAAATGAGATATATGGGATATAAATTCAACTGTAGAAGCTAAATTAAATATAATGAATTGATGTGAAAACGTCAACCAGAGGATCGCAATTACTTTTTAGAGATATAAGGTTTGAACCAATGTCTAGACCAATTTCAATCATACTCCCACACAATTTTTAAGAAAACTTGTTAATTTAATTTTATTAAAGTATCACACAGTTTGTCAGGTGGAAAGCCGGAAATTATTATATATTGCTGAGGTATACTGCGATCATACTTTGAAGCAATTTTATAAATATATAACTCACACATTGAACGACATATTTAGCATAAGGTTCAATAAAATAACGAAAATCAATATATGTATGCAGTACTAGAGAGTTGGGGTATTTCGTAGACTAAATTCATTTATTTTCCAATCCAATATTATACGTTGAGCTATATCCAATATTAATCACTTAATTTTGCTAAGAAATATTACATATTGACTGATATATTTTATAATGTATAAGGACAACCGGAAGTTTAAAAATCTTATGTTAGGTATATGAGAGATAAGCGTAGTATTGACCCGATTTAATCTAATTTTGGCAATGCAACATACTATGAATAGAATAAAATCCTCCCTGAGTCTCATTAAAGTACCTCATATATGTACATGTGGGCCAGGGCCGATTTTACTTATTTTAGGCATAAAGATACAGTTATTAGGAAAATACGCTCGATTCAACCCATTTTTGACACTTAAGCATACTATATATGGGATCCACATATTTGGTACCTAGGGACTTGAACAGTTTCGGTTCGATTGGACAATTTTTAGTCATAAGGTGGCGCACTTTAGAGGGACTGTTCGTGCAAAGTTTTATCCCGATATATTAATTAATGTTTTATTTGTATAATTCTGTTATATGGAAAGTAGCCGTGGTTGTGATCCGATTTGTTGAAATCGGTCGAGCATCCTGATGCATTTAGATATTGATTTATCACACTTTTAGTAGTTTTTAACAAAACCGGTATATAGGGAGTGTGCGGGGTTATTTCACTTATTTTCACACAATCGTAAGTGTTGAAAATATCTATTGTGCGCAAATTTGGGTGATATAAGTAGCTTAATTGGTTCGGGAGAGATATACATTAAACTTACTAGGGGGCGGGCTGCGCCCACTTTTTCAATAGATTCGTTGTGCCAAATTAGAGTTTTTATACTCTCGCAACCTGTTGCTACAGAGTATAATAGTTTTGTTCACCTAACGGTTGTTTGTATCACCTATCTCTATCACCTGCAGCTAAAACTTTCTTTTAAAAAGTGGGCGTGGTCCCGCCTCTAATAGGTTTAATGTGCATATCTCCTAAACCGCTAATGCTATAATAACAAAATTCACTAGAAGCAAATTTTTTTAGCACTTCTATTGACGATGTGAAAATAGTTGAAATCGGGTGGCAACTCCGCCCACTCCCCATATAACGGTACTGTTAAAAACTACTAAAAGCGCGATAAATCAAGCACTAAACACGCCAGAGACATTAAATTTTATCTCTGAGATGGTATAAATTGGCTTTATAGGAACCGCGTTCAAAATTAGTCAGTGGGCGTGGCACAGCCCACTTTTAGGTGAAAACCCATAACTTGAGATCTGCTCAACCGATTTCAACCAAATTCGGTGCATAACGTTCTTTTCATGTTTCTATGCCATAGTGCGAAAATGGGCGAAATCGGACTACAACCACGCTTACTTCCCATGTAACACCATTTTCAATTCCATCTGATTCTTTCACTTTCCACTATGCAAATCAGGTAACAATGATTATATCGGGGTAAAACTTTGCGTGAATAATGCAATTAAAGTATGCCACCTTGCGGCCAAAAATTGTCTAAATCGAACCAAAACTGTTCAAACTCCTAAGTACTAAATATGTGGACCCCAGTGCCTCTAGTTGACCTTCTACCGAAAATATCAGTCAATCCACAAATAAATCTCAAACGAGTATACCATTTGACTTTGCGAGAGTATAAAATGTTCGGTTACATCCGAACTTAGCCCTTCCTTACTTGTTTATCTTAATTTACGGCTTAGGTATAACACTTTATACGTTTTCGATTAAAGGCGTTTTGTGGCGGTGGCATTGATCCGACTACGCTCATCTACGAACTTGTCTTTATTTTTTTTCCAAGGAACAAGTGCACCAGGTTTCATCAAGATATCTTAATTTTTACTCAAGTTTCAGGTTGTACAGAAAGACGGACGGACAGACAGACATCCGAATTTCAACTCGTCTCGTCAAGGTGATCATTTATGGGGTTACATACAGTTAGAATTTTCAAACAATCTATTTTTGAAATTTTATTTTCTTAATGTATTTAAAAATACACACAGAAAATTTCACATCGTTCCGGTTAATATTTTCGAAACACAAATTTGAAAAGGCATTTCAGAGTGCTTGGAAGTACAAGGCCGGAGTGGCATCGACTATCTGTACGCTGACCGTTTCATGCACCTAAATATTGTAAATCCTCCCTTCTAATGTATGTAGATGTGTAAATCAACAGTGTGATTGTTATACCTGAAATGTAAAATTTTTTTTTCGAACCCTAAACTGGAAAATATTAAAGAGTGGTAGTCAGTATAAGCAGCTAAGCCAAGCAGTAAACTTGTAACTTCGTTTATATTTTTTTGTGTAATTTTTCGTGAAAATGAAGTCTACCAGAGAAATGAGAAAGTCTCTTAACATACGTAAATCGAGAACAAAAAGGCGCAAAATGTTTTTAATCCAAAGACAGCTGAAACAAATATAATAATAATAACCCAACGATTACCCTCCTCCCGCCAACCGACGCGAGGAGCGCAATTTGCATACGTGCGGAATTAGCCGAGTCAGAAAAGGCAAGAGAGTTTTTTAAGTGTTGAGATCTAAAACTGCTCAGCTACAGAAACAAAAATTTCAACCGCTAAGATTTATAGTTACAATATAATAAGTTGTTACATTTTCATTCATTAAGAGAAAACAATAAAGTCTTTTTCATTTTGAAAAGTGAGTCAGATTAGTCAAATGTGCTGGAATGAGAATTAAAATCATGACATATAATGCGGGATGGCTCGTTTAGTTCAAAATTTGATCTACAGGATTTTCACAGTAAAGGTATAAATTGCCTCGAAAAGCGAATCGGGATATTAAATTTAATTTCAGACAGGAGAAAAGAACTGCAAACTGTTTCATTCAAGATTTTCACTAAAAATATTATGCCAAGCATTTCCCTACGACTAGAAAGTGTAGGTAGTTTAATAAGTTTTAAACGACTAGTGTATGGAGGTAGACTTACCCTAGAATCCCATCGGAAATGCGCTAAGGCGAAAAGTAAAAATGGTTTTCGAACAGACTCTAACTTGTCAGAATGGATTTGGTAGTTAGGGTTCCATACAACAGAGCCATATTCCAATATAGGTCTAACCAAAGTTGTATAATGTGGTTTAGTAATATACGGATCTCTACATTCTTTAGACCAACGTTTAACAAAACTGAGGACAGCTTTTGCTTTCAAGACCATGGTGTCAATATGAAGACAAAAATTAAGCTTAGGGTCCATATTTACTCCCAAATCAACATAGTTAAAAACTTGCTCCAGAATAT